TGTCCTTTCGTTTCCCGCGCATTCACCGCTTCATTGATTTCTGATGTAAACAAAACAGACAATTGCCGATAAACAACTGATTAGAAGAATAGAAAACAAACAAGATGAGTAATATGGTTGCGTGTGTGCAAGGAATCAAACGCCAAGCATCACGGTTTAGTTAGGAGCAAGGGTTTCAGTGCACTATAGTTTGTTTAATGACCCCTCTAGCTGGACGTCTACGACTATAGATGAAATTATAATTGAAGGCAGATATGAGCAATTTGAATTAATATGATCGCATCTTATTTCCTGAAAACCCAAGATACTTGCAACACAGCGAGGTCCCAAATGATGTTCGCATGTGGGGTAAACAAAAATTTTGTCCTGCATTTTTTTTTAGTTGTAATCTCGAGCTCTGTCCTGCCTTTTTATTTTTTTCTCTATTCGGTCCTGCCTTTTTTTTTAATAGTTTACCCTGACTTTTTGTACATAAATTGTCATCCTGCCTTTTTTTTTACTCAAAACTCCTGTCCTGCCTTTTTTTTATATTTCATCCTAGCCCCCATAAAAATCAAATGGTAGCTCCCTTACAATAAGTATATTTCGTCGTGGTGATAATTACTATTTGTTTGATTTACATGCTCGAGATAATCAAGGTTTCCCATTTTAAGATGGTGCTGCTATTTTGCTAACATTTTCAAATCTGAATGAGCTGATACTATATGTATAATCATCAATATACAATGGTGCTGAGTTTAATCTATCGGCTGTATTTGTATAGATATTTGTAATATGTGATATTGTCAGATGGAACTGACTATGTAAAGGCTCTAGTTTATGACTTGGATGCGTTAACAATGATGGTGGTTGATAAGGAAATCCAGATCCAGGATGTTATTCCAAAACGGAACAGGTATTTTACGTATATATATTAGAATTCATCCTCCTGAACATATAGTACCCATATATAATAACCATACACCTAATTGCTTTATGGAATTCTGTCCCAGCTGACCTGAGAATCTGTCTCGCTTCAACCATTGACATCATACAACAATCACTTTTCCATTGTGGCGTCAGATATTTTGTATTATGACGTCAAAATTTTACGTGAACCTTATCGCTATTTAGTCCAATCCGGAAAAAACAGTCATTTAGACAACTTCCTGTTTGGGTCAACATTCCGATCAACAAAGGTCATCAATAACGAGCTGAGGGATGGAAAAATTTAGAAAGCGATCAATAAGAAACTTTGATAGATTATGATCCACTTTTTCGAATCTCAAATTATAGTCAAAAAGATATTTTGTTTGAAATATTTACGATGTTTTTTACAGGTCTCATTAAAAAGTATCAAGCATGGTGCATTGTTTGAACAGGGCCCCAGATAGTTTCAACTGGATGAAAAAGTTGTGTAATTTTAGAACTTATCATGAATGGAAAAAATAGCAATTAGGCGTATGGCAGACAAATAGCAATAAGTAGGATTCAAATAAAATTGAGAATGGAAATGGGGAATGTGTCAAAAAGACAACAACCCGACCATAGAACAGAGCACTCTTTAATAAATCAACTCTAATAAATTATTCGTATATATATAGATGATCACATGACATCATGAACATAGACGTCCCTTAACTAGTGCAGAAAATAAATTTTTCAAATGCATCTATTGAAAATAAATCATTGCATGCGTTTCATAAGTTCTGCTTTGGACATAACTGAATAACAATGCCGAATATAATGGAAGCATACATTAAGTTAAATTTCTTTATTTTTCACATAGCATCTGACAGCATTGAATGATACGATATGAATCAGCAGATTTATCGTTGTTTTAGAAGTTCAACGAGAAGTTATATATTTTATTTAGTTGGGTGGATAACATAACATTTGTCATTATACATATAAAAAGAAGATGTGGTATGATAGACAATGAGACAACTCTCCAAAAAAGACCAAAATGACACAGAAATAAACAACTATAGGTCACCTTACGGCCTTCAACAATGAGCAAATCCCATACCGCATAGTCAGCTATTAAAAGTCCCCGAAATAACAATGTAAAACAATTCAAACGAGAAAACCAACGGCGTAATCTATGTTTGCTCAGCATTCATCATGAAAATGATCACATTATAAATCATTTTAGGAAAGCTCTGTGTAAGCTGACTCTTCAGGTGGCAACAAGTCTATAGGCTGACTGTATATTATCTGAACAAGTTCATTTCTTGTCAACTTCATAATTATTTCAAACATTTTAATAGATGTCACACAAATTTGGTCTATTTCATTTACCTTAATATTCTTGCTTTTTCAAAGTCATGTTCATTTATTTTTCAACCGCGCCCAGAAATATGCGGTTACCTTTAATTTCAGAAACGGATTTTGGGATAGGCGACCGGGACCCCCTTTTAAAACCTACATTTAATGTTAATGCAGACATTTTACTTGTTCCACACCAAACCTTGTCAAGTTTGGGGCCCCCGGGCACCCCTTCTTTCCATAATTCATCCTACATCTACTTTTGAATTTGTTGCTTATTTGTTCTTTGGTCTATGAATATCTGTCTATATACTGACAATGAAACCACATCTTCATGGTCCCACAAAAATGTTGAAAATGTGTAAATTTCATTTTTTTCTAGCTCCTCTGATATGATAGCAGTACCTTTTTGGTCACTATTCTGTGTTGCGTCTAAATATTAATTGTAACACTTTATAGTGACTGAACAGGTAAAACAAATACTTCTCAAGAAACAGAAAAAGAAGACTACAGCACCAGACTATGTATGAATAAAAACTCAGATCGGAATAGCATGGATGATATATTTATACATCCTTGTGAATAAGCAAGGAAAGCTATTAATAATAGTGCATTTTTTAAAAGTTAATTGGGTTTTTCATTCATATTCTGTTCGAATTTTCACTCAATCTGTCAAAAAGGCAAAACTAACTTTACTGAAACTTTCAAACAATATGAGAAGTGAACCGTTTCATTCACCAAAACACTCTTGCGATTCTGCAAAAAAAATCATGCATGATTTTGTGAATGAAAGGGGAAAGAAGATCCTGACACAGCGCACCCGTGCATGTCAATTGCGAACTAACCTAATAATTTATATATCACGACCAGTTAACTAATACTGACATTATCAGAGAGTACACATCAAAGGAAAAATGCACAAATTACCGATAAATCGTTATATATGATATTATAGAATTAAATATGTTTTACTACCAAAAAATGTGTTCTCAATCTTGTCAATAGATATAACAGAATGTCATATATATCAGTACCAAAGACAACTCTCCATCCAAGTCACAATTTGTAAAAGTAAACCATTATAGGTTGAAGTACGGTCTTCAACATGAAGCCTTGATTCACACCAAACAGCAAACTATATAGTCCACATCAATCATGACAATAAACAAAAACAAATAAAACAACTATATCGCTTACTTATAATCCTGACTATATGTATTACATGAACTGGTTGCCATCAGAAATGAAAATATAAATATTCCAACTAACAAAAGCATATGCTTACACATGCAACAAAATATAAAGCACTGAATGCTAATACCAATATGAAGCTCTCATCTATAGAACTTACAAAAAAACTTGCAAGATTACAAACCACAACAAAATATTAAAAAACATAAGAAGCCAGCTGACAACATGTTCTAGAAAATTAATCGCAATTAATATTTCATTCCAAATCCATTACCACAAAACATCTTACAGTAATACTACATCTGGAAATTAGTAATAACAACACTTAATCTGTACCTTCAAAACTAATTGCTTCTTCTAAGACAAAAGCCAGATGAGATATTCATCACTTCCAGTGCTCCAGCTAGAAATAGAAAGGGACAGGGTGCCAGTGAAGGGCAGGGCACTTTTTTATGATAGGAAAAGGCACTCCTCATTTCTTTTGTCTACGTTTCTGTGTGTATCACGAGTTCACATTCTTTTTTTAACTGTATATGTTGCTAATAAAGATGCATAAGTTGTTGTTTTGATTATTTATTCTATAAAATTTGCATTAGAGAAGTCATTCATACTACATGTTCATAAAACATGGCAATACACATTCATATATCAGATCACTATTAACCAAAAGAAGCAAAATAAACTTACTATTCCCCCCCACCCTTTTCCAAAAAAAAAACCAAATAAACTAAACATCTCATAGTTTAGCATACATGTGACAGAGTTGTCTTATTTCAAAATTTTCAGCTAGAGTTTGGCCCTCAAAACGTTTTTCATTGTTTGTGTTTAGATATTATTTAGTATAGCTTCATCAAGTTGATTTGTCATGATAGTTTAACTACACACTACCCAATATTGTAGATTTACAGCTTGACAACAGTTATTTCGATATATTTCTAACTTGACAATGTATAAAACATGGATTGCTAAAAGTATGATTATCAAAAATAAATTGCAATATATGTGTTTTGGTATGTTCAAAGACGGTTAATATCCTTAAGGTAACTTCTTATATAATTTTGTATTCAACTGGTTGTTTTTTCCTATTTTTAATACTAGATAATATTTTAGAAGACTTCTATACATAAGATGTAATATTCTCATATCTGAACGGGCAACTATTGTAGTCAGAGGCGGATTTAGAGAGTTTTTTTAGGGGACCCCCCCTCTTTTTGTGGGAAAACTTTGGTTGATCATATACATGTAGTGAATCACTGCAGAATGACTGGAGCGGGCCCCCTCTTATGAAAATTTCTAGATCTGCCACTGGTAGTCCATTTTGTCAAGCAGTAATCCTCAAAAGTAAATATAAATACGTTTTTCTTATCAACTTGATTATAACCTTGCAAACTATTACATAACTGTCAAGACACAGTATGCATGTTAAAACTACTTGCATTGTCATAAAGAGTAAACATTCATATTCCGAATTTTAATGATTCATATTTTGATGATGTAAATATAAAGTCAAACGCACCCACAAACGATTATCCCCCTTCATTGAATAATACAAGTTCTGATGTAAACAATCAACATGCAGAGTCGGTCTATCAGAGTCTAATTGAGTCCAGGAAAAAACACCCAAGTAACTTCGTGGTAGCATATATGAATATAAACAGCATAAGGTATAAGTTCGATGAGATTAAAGAACTATTATATGATAAAATCGTAGATCTCCTTATAGTTGCAGAAACGACAATTGACCAATCGTTTAATGATAACTTGTTCAAAGTAGATGGCTACAAACTTCATCGACGTGATAGAAACAAACAAGGTGGTGGCATCATGTTACTGATCAATTCTGACTTTCCATCTAGTCGTAGAGCTGACAAAGAATCTGATAGTTTAGAGAACATTAGTTTAGAGGTTCACTTAAATAACATCAAATGGCTGATGATGGGTATTTATAAACCCCTATCAGTACCTGACAACAACTTTTCAGATAACTTTACAAAAACAATAGACAAATGTATAATTAACTATGATAATATTTTATTACTTGGTGATCTAAATTTTGACATGTTAAATAGTAAAAAATGTCAATCTATAAATGACATATGTGATATCTTCAACTTGTCACAATTAATATCAAAACCAACTTGTTTTATGAAAGGGTCTAAATCCTCACTTGTTGATGTTATACTCACAAACAAGGAAAATATGTGTTATAACACCCACAATTTATCTACAGGTATTAGTGATTGTCATAATCTTATATCAGTTACAATCAAGGGCAAAGTTCATGCCCCAAAACAGCAAAAAATATCATACAGAAGTTATAAAAATTTTGATATAAATAAATTTAACACAGATCAAAACCAAATAAAAATGCCACTTACAGAAAATGTCACAAATTCTGAACAGTTAAACCAGGCATACAATGAATTTGAAGATACATTCACAAATATTCTAAACAAACATGCACCGATCAAAACAAGACAACCAAGAAAACAACCATTACCGTGCATGAATAGTGAACTTAGAAAAGCGTTATATCGCAAACACATGCTGTACACACAATTTACAGAGCATAAAGATTCAAAAACATGGGAAAAATATAGAAAACAGCGAAACCTTGTTACAAAACTTAAAAAAGTATCAATGAAAAATTATTTTTTAGAACGTTGTTCAGGTGGGGCAAAAAAACAGTAACTTTTGGACAACTATAAAGCCGTTTTTCTAAAAAAAAATGGCACTCAGGGGAACAAAAAATTGTTTTATGTGAAAACAGCAAAATCATAAACAACACCAAAGATGTTTCAGAACACTTTAACACATTTTTCTCGACAGTTGCAAACAAGATTGGTAGTGACGTGATATACGACCCACCAACTCATGCCAGTATCTTGCAAATAAAAGATCAAAACTGCACTAACACAAAATTTGATTTTCAGAAAACAACAACAGAAAAAGTAGCAAAAATTATTAACAAAATTAACATTAAAAAAGCTACTGGAGTAGATGGCATACCAGCAAAAGTAGTGAAACATTGTAAACCGATAATTGTGCCACAGTTAACAACACTTATAAATCTATCTGTAGAAACTGGAGTTTTTTCCTGATAGACTCAAGCAGGCTCAAGTAACACCACTGCACAAGAAAAACAACCAACTTGACAAAGCCAATTATAGGCCTGTCAGCGTTCTACCAATTTTTTCTAAAATTTATGAAAAGGTTTTTGAAATTCAACTTGGTGATTTTTTTGAAATTATTTTTCATCCCTATCTGTGTGCTTTTAGACGTGGCCATGGGTGTCAGACCACACTGTTACGACTGCTAGAAGATCAACGTGCAGCATTAGATAAAAACCAGTATATAGCTGCTGTTTTAATGGACCTTTCAAAGGCTTTTGATTGCCTACCACATGAAATTCTGCTTGATAAATTATCAGCATATGGTGTCTCTGTTCATTCTATTTCACTACTTAAATCTTATTTGACAAACAGGAAACAACAAATTAAAATAAATAGAATTCTTAGCAGTAGGGCTGACATTCATAAAGGGGTTCCCCAGGGTTCTATCCTGGGCCCCCTACTATTCAATGTTTTTATCAATGATATATTCTTATTTATAAAAAATGGAACTTTGTATAATTATGCAGATGACAATACTTTATCTTACTGTAGTCCTGATTATGATGTTTTGATTTCTACTTTGGAATCTGAATCACTAAAACTTATTGAGTGGTTCAAAATAAATAAAATGCAGGCAAACCCCGACAAATTTCAGGTCTTAGCAGTTGGGAAAAAGACATATAACAAAAATCCATCTATACGTATCCAAAGTGCTGATCTTTCGTGTGAGTCAACTGTCAAATTACTTGGCATTGACATAGATTATCAGCTAAATTTTGATATTCATATTGGTAAAATATGCAGGAAGGCATCTCAGCAACTAAATATTTTGAAACGTTTGGGAGCTTATCTGAACAAGCTAAGTAAGCTTACTATTTTTTATACATTTATTTTGTCAAACTTCAATTTCTGCCCTTTGGCATTGCATTTTTGTACCGAGAAAAATTCAAAAAAATTAGAAAAAGTGCAAGAAAGAGCACTAAGGTTTGTGTACGAAGACCATTCAAGCTCATATCAACAGTTGCTTGAAAAGGCTAAGATGCCTTCACTGCATATTAAAAGACAAAGATCTATGGCAATTGAAACTTTTAATATAGTCAATAAATTAGCACCTGTCTGTTTACATGATTTATTAAATGTAAAAGATTGTAAATATTCTTTCAGATATAGTAATATACTGGATATACCACATGTAAAAACTACACAGTTTGGTAAGAAAAGTTTTAAATTTGCAGCTGCTACTCTGTGGAACAGCCTACCTGACCATTTCAGGACTGAAAACAGTTTTTCTCAATTTAAGAGCCTTATACAGTCTTGGAATGGTTCAAAATGTTGTTGTTCTGCTTGTAGATAAGCTTTATCATATTTTAGAAGTTGATCTAACATGTTATTATGCCTTAAATTTTTGCATGTGTGCTATATTTTATTTGTGCTTAATTTTAGTTGTGCTTAATTTTTAGTTGTGCTTCAGCTTTGGCTTTAGATATGTATTTTAAAAGTGCTTTGCATGTATTTCGATATGACTGTGCTGTTATATATCCTGTCTGCATGTTGTGTGTTTTAATGTTGTGTTTGTGTTACCTTATATTCGGTAAAAAGCTCTTAAGAGCTTATGTTTGTATTGTTATATGTGAACCGAATCAAAATAAAACTTTCGTATTCGTATTCGTATATTCCACAAAACAAAGAAAAAAGTGTTTGTATCGTTACTCTAGCTATTACAAACCATAAATATATATTATCATTTGTGACTTTAAAGCCTCCTTCCATGATAACCCTGATCCACCAATACTACAACTAAAATTAAAAACCAGGAGAAAAAAGACACTATATATTCATAGTGCTTGGAGTGCCAGATTCCATTAAAAACCTATACCCACAAACCACCGATCTCAATATAAGCAGCTAAAATACGGCAAGCTTTTTATAAAAGCTATTACTTGTTCTTTAATTTTTATTGTTTGCCCGTTATTCTCTATTCTGTTAACCCCCATCCATACCCTCTTATGTGGACTTAAACTTTCGGTAGTTTATTTTATCCTATTTCTGTCTATATGAAGTAAATACATTATTTATCACAAAACAAAAACTTACTAAATCTTTTTTTAAGAAGTCCTCACCAGTTGCGGATCCAAAAAAATGTCATAAGTAGGCACTAACTATCATGCATAAAGAGGGGGCCCACTCCAGTGATTCTCTAAATAATCAACCATTTTTTCCAAAAAACGGGCGGGCCCCATGCCCTCACCTTAATCCACCTCTACCCCCTGTTCACCTCGAGCCACACTTAAAAATATTTTGGTTTGCCGAAACCCTACCCAAAGGTAGAGACAGTGGGTAGGTAGGTAGGCATTTTCTTTTGTCGGCAAAGAGACTTTAAAGTGTCAGATGTTTTTTAGTCTTCATTCCTACCTGATTAAAAAAAAAACTTTTTCACATCAGGACAATAAAAGATTTTGAGTAGGCAGCTATTTTCTGGGTAGGTAGGGTTAGGGCAAACAAACATATTCTTTTTTATGGACGCGTATCCTTGAATTCAGATTCAAGATATCTCTGACTAAAGTAAGTAAGTCACATTTGGTTATTATTCTGTTACGCCGTTCCTCAATTTATGTAGTTCGTTTGATAATATTCTTAATCTGTTTATGTGTTCAAGTTTAGGAGGATTATTCCTCTTTAACCTGATAAGAACATTAAAACATCGTATCATCGCTACCTTTCCCTTTCACACACGTATCCGTTACAGGAAAACTGCAAGGTCATTACGATCACGAGAAATATTTCGTACAGACGTCATCTTGGACACAATTTGTGGCTAACCACAGAGTGAGTTAATTATATAACATTGTATTTGAAGCCTTCAAATTGCTCTTCGTATATTTGAACCTTTTCTCCGTGAAATACTGGAAATTTAACCGTTCTTGGAAGTACAACATTTTCACGCATTAAACGGACTGTGCTATCAATTATTTTTGACATTTCGTTATCATAAAATTAATTCAAAACATTGTAAAATTGTATTTTCAGCTTTTTACCATATGTCAGATTGGTTCATAATTAAAGTATCAGCACCTGATAGTCTTTTCTGCTTGAGCCCAAATTGTCGGTTATACTTAATGGTCAGGCCATTACAGTAAAAAGTCTACAACTTGCCTGTTGTGTCTCACAGATAACGCCACTCCACGTCAGTTCTACAGCTACAACCTGCCTGTTGAGACCTGCAAGAACGCGTCATCCCTTGACGTACAGTAAATTGACTTGTCTACACATATCCTGACCAGGAAATACAACGGAGCATCGTTCGTAGCTGTTACCTTGACACTACGCAACACAGCTTGTGTTTTGGCAGCAAACCAACAACGTTGAGCTATCATGGATCCCAGTCACGCGGAACAGCAAGAAGAGGTACAGCCCCCAGAGGGAGATGTCCCTGAAGAACTTATAGAGAATCCGTATATTACCACACATTTAGATGAAAATCCCGAGACGAGGCGAGTACGCGACCTCACTGAAAAGGGCGAAGGAGCTTACACAAAAAAACGTGACAAGTTCTGTGAGGAACTAGAGGCCCTTTGGTCAGATATAACCACCCAGTTATTGGAAATCACCACACCTCCCAACGAACTTCAGCAACTCTTAACAGCCCAGGACAAACTTGTAAAAGCCTGTACGAATTATCGTAGACTTACAGATTAATACCTGAACTTTCTGAAAAGGACCACAACATTGGACAGTCAAAAGGACATAGACGCATGTAATCTCATGTTAGATATTCGTCTGTCCAAAGTGGAACTGGCCATGGAAACATTGCACGAACATCGCCTCGCCATGACGAAGGCTAAATCCACTAAAACAAAGACCTCACACAGTGGTAGCTCTAACGTGTCAGACATGTCAAGCCTGGCACGGAGAAAGCGTGCTAAAGCAGAGGCTGCCAAGTCTGAAATAGCCTTTGTCAAAAAACATGCCCTTATCCTACAACAGGAGGCAATGTTAGAGGAACAAGCCCTGTTCAGACAAACTGAAATGGAACAGGAAACATCACGCAAAAAGGCCGAAATGGAACAAGAAGCCGCGCGTTCAAAGGCTAAAATGGAACATGAGGCAGAACAAGAGGCCATACGCAGGAAGGCTCAACTGCAACAAGAGGCCACACGAGTAAGCCTGGAAAAGGCCGAGCTGAAGGCCAAATTTAACATTCTTGAAGCACAGAAAGAAGCTGCAGCCGCAGAAGCCGAGGCTCGTATCCTGGAATATGATGACAGTCAAGCGTTGGACGATCTTCCTAATGAGACAGAAGACCCGCTCAAACGGGTGCAAGATTTCATAAACAAACATCCTGTACCAACCGCCGAACAGGAAGTGACAGGCCCTCTAAAGAAAAAACAAACTCCTGTAAAGCTAAGTCATGAAGCACCTGAGTTCTTACCATCCGTGTCATTGAACTTGCCGTCACAGACATCTCCTGTCTTACCTGCACATGCTAAGTCAGCAGAAGTTTATGTATTCCCAGATCTGGGAACAGTAACTGGCATAAGAAAACAGGGCGTTTCAGCAAAGATCCCTGTCTCACAACAAAAACAAGGCGTTATAGAAGAGATCCCTAACTCACACAAAAAACAAGGCGTTATAGAAGAGACCCCTTCTGCACACCTGCAACAATTCAATCCTACGTTAGAGATAACCAGATTTCTCCTACGCAAGGACCTGCTGTTCTCCCGGCTAACAAGCTTTAACGACCAGGCAGAATCCTTGCATACATGGAAAGCCGGTTTTAAAAACGTCATAGATGAATTACAAGTTTCAGACTCGGAACAGATAGACCTACTTGTTAAATGGCTTGGGCCAGAGTCTGCCAAACATGCCATGAGTATAAGGGCATCAAATGCCAACAACCCAACAAGGGGCCTACACAGACTATGGGAGAGACTGGACGACCGGTATGGTGCTCCAATAATGTTGGAGGCGTCTCTCGTCAACAAACTTGCCAACTTTCCAACACTGACAAATAAAGACAACTCACTGCTGTACGATTTGTCAGATATTATCTCAGAAATAGAGTATCACAAAGAAAATCCCAAGCTGGGATCACTACAAAAGTCAAAAAGTCTGAAAAGACCAGTTTTTGTCTGAATTTGCATGAATTTTTACTCGACATTCTTAATTTGTCTGAATAATTTTTAAAAATTCTTGACATAGTATGAATTTGTCTAATAAGGTTCTTGATTTTTCTTGACAAGTGTCTTGACAGTATGAACATTGTCTTAAAATTTCTCGACACTTCCTGTATCATCTGATAAGAGTCTGGATTAGTCTCGACCAATTCTTGACTGTCTTAAATTTGTCTCGATCTGTCTCGACATATTCTTGACATTCTAAATAATGTCTGAATATGTCTCGACACATTCTTGACAGTCTTAAATATATCTTGACACTATCTCAACAGTATAAATTTCGCCTGAAATGTGAACAGACTTATTCTGCACTGTTTATGACATTCTATTGCTGTTATATACTCCTTTTTATTATGGCTAAACTAAACTTTGAAGAATCAAGGATTAATTTGGTATGTATAGTAAGATACCCTTTTGGTGCAACTAAGTTGTAATACCCTGAATAATCCCCCATGTAGTTTAATTTTGATTTATTTTTATTAAACATTTAAGTAATTGTTTTCACTTGGAATATAAGTAGAAGGTATTGACAAACAGCATTTAGATTTTTGCCGTTCGCAAAACTGCCAGTCAAATTTGCTTTACTAAAATAGGTGTCTTGTATCTCTTTTGGGCCCCACAATTCATCTTTTGGGTTTGTGTAGCTAAAAAAGAGGGGGGGGCTTTCGTTTAGGTCAAAGAATTTGTTCCCATCTTGATTCAAAAACCTTATTCATTTTTTATTCAAATTTGAGTGTTGAATTTTATAGTTTTTTTTATCAAAAATAAATATTAATAAATAACAAAAAAACTCCTTCCTGAAAAGAAAAAAATGTTTAGATCTATATTATGCATGTCTGTTTGAGAACCATTTCTATAGAAATCATTGATGGGACCCATTATAAATACATTTTTTTTTATTATTCCTGGAGTAGATAATAATTTTCTTTTAATCTTTGGGAATTATTCAATTTGTTTTTATGTTAAAATAATTAACTTCATAATTTTGATGAAGAAAATCCATTTCAATTCAATTCTTTTTCATCAAAATGATGATTTTCATTTTCATCTATCAACAAACTTTTGTAGTGGCATGGTCGGTCAACTGATAAGTTGTATGGCTGATTGCAGGTAAAGCAATAACTTCTATTTGACAGTTGCATGTACTCTGGGGTGTGGAATACCTTAATTTTATGGGGAACATCCTGTCCATGTGTAATACTTAATATATTCCAACAGATGACATTACACAAATTTTTCTTCTGTTAAATGAATGATTTGTATATCATAATTTGCTATTTATATAAACCACATTTTGGTATAATAATTATTTACCATATCAACATTGAATATTATGAATGTAGAATGAAATATGTCTACAGTATGATTGGTTTGAATCATTTAATTTATAAGATTTAGGAATCAAAATTTGTAATTATTTAAAAACCCACATTGAAATTGTTTTATATCAACACAACCACATTTGAATTATTTTATACTTTAGATTT